ATCCTTCAATAGGTCACTCAATCAACACATAACAGGAGGGTTAAGACCACACACCTAGAACTAGATGTATAAGACAGGCAGACAGACAAACCCCACCGTCGCTAGATAAAGGCAGAATTTATCAATCATGTCGTAGAGTCAACAAACACTTCACACACACATACACACATTCACGGGAATATCGACAAGTTCTCGCCAGAAGTTACTATTTCATTTGGAAAGGGAATGGAACCAGTGTTGAGAGTGGTGAACAGTTAGCAAGTCAGTGGAACAACTCAGCAGTAACAGCTGAGTCGTACCCAGCTAACAGCCTTGAACAGGAGGGTCCCAGGTGCCAGTAATAGCTGCCCCTGGACTCAACAGCACCAGCTATGTGTTAATCCGTCCACGATGGGAGGCCTGGGACCACACCTCACTCACTTGAGTGAGTGAGGTCCTGTGAACTCAGACCACGTGAGTGTCCCCATGATGCTCGACACCACGTGGTAAATGAGTTGCTACAGCATCATGTGATGGAGTTCCTCATAGCACCATCTGTGAAATTACTACACCACGTGATGCCCTCATAACACCATCCGTGAGGTACTACACCATGTGAGGCCCCATCCACCATCTGAGAAATTATACCACGTCAGGCCCCTCATTACACCATCCGTGAAATTGCTACACCTGTGAGGCCCCATCACACCATCTGTGAGAAATTAGCACACCACGTATGAGCCCCTCATAACACCATCTGTGGGGAGTTACTACACCACGTCAGGCCCCTCATAGCACCATCGTGGGAATTACTACACCATGTGAGAGCCCCCATCACCATCTGTAGAGAGTTACTACACACGTCAGGCCCTCATAACACCATCTATGAGAAGTTACTACACTACGTGTCTGTTTTTCAACACCTCAGCGCACATGATCTACTGCAGTGACCTCCACTGTAAACAATAATCTGTATGTTCACTGTATGTTCCTTTACCTTTCTCTAATAGAAGCTTTTGGTAAACCACCAATGTATGTAATAAGTCATTTATGTCCAATGTATATTTTCAGCCTTTGGGCTGCAAACTTTCAATAAACCGTTATTATTATTATCATTATTATTGTATTATTATTATTATTCACACACACACACACACACACACACACACACACACACACACACACACACACACACACTTATAGATAGGCTTGTTTACAATCATGTCTGTTTACTACGGTTGACAATGGTAAATGGGTGCGGGACATTGTTGTGAGCGTAGTTGAAGAGCGGTGTTCAATGTGCCGCTTACTTACACGGCGATGTGTAACTACAGTAACGCTCTGAAACGACAACAATACCAACGAAATAAAAACAGCAAAATCAACGAAAACAATAAAAACTATATCAACGAAAAGTAACAAAAAATTACAACAAATTAAAACATCAACGAAAACTTAAAAATAATAATAATAACAATACTATTTCACCATCAAGCTCTGTTTTCCATCATTTTAGTTCCTTATCTTATTAATTAATGCCACTAACTGATATCACTTCCCATATTAAACAACAATAACAGACGGAGGAAGACAACAACTAACGCCATGTACACGACGAACCAGGAACTACAGGATAGGAAGGCGGGTCATCAGAAGGGTTGAAGGATGGAGAGAGAGAAGCATCACACTAACGCGCTCTGGTAGTGATCAAAGCTTCTCCTGATGGGTCGAGCTTTTGAGACGTTCCAAGAATTTCCCGTCAGAATATAAACACTATTTAGATATTCCTAAAAAACAAAAAAACCCAAAAGAGCATCACATCGCGTTTTTAAGAGAATGCGTCACTGCGTCTGAAAAAAGAAGATTTATATAATGTTTTCGGAGCCATGCTAGACCAGAGGAGCTATATAAACAAGAAGATTTTGTCTTCTTTTTCAAGGCCAAGCAATCGATATTCTTTCTGACATAACAATTTTCTGCATCTTTCCTCTGGCCTCGGGGCGATTTCATTCTCTTGGGATCGAATTTTTTAGCACCGTCGTTCTTCTTACTGCTTAGAGGATGATGATGATGATGATGATGGCGATGATAATGATGATGATGATGATGATGGGGGTGAAAAGTGAAGATGAAAGAGGGAGAAGAGACTAAGAAGAGAGGTGAGAAGGAAGAGGAAGAGGATGTGTGTGTGTGTGTGTGTGTTTGGGGCAAAATCAATACGTCTAAAAAATATAAATTAGATAAACATAAAACCTTAAATTAAAAACCATTACATAAACCTTACCTTTAAAATCTTTTTATAAAAAACTTCAATTTAAAAACCTGACTTTAAAATCTGAGTTTTACAACCTTTATGGCAAAAATATTGGTACCTGTAATTTGTGTACCTGGGACCTGTAACGTGTGTACCTGGGACCTGTAACGTGTTTTACCTGGCACCTGTAACGTTATTGCACGCACCTGTAACGTGTGTGCCTGGCACCTGTAACGTGTGTGCTTGGGGACCTGTAATGCGTTACCTGGGACCTGTAACGTGTGTACCTGGGACCTGTAACGTGTGTACCTGGGACCTGTAACGTGTGTACCTGGGACCTGTATGCGTGTACCTGGGACCTGTAACGTGTGTACCTGGGACCTGTAACGTGTGTGTGTCTAGACCTGGGCTGGCATTTCCTCACTAGCTTAACTTAGGGAGGGAGAGTGGAAGGAGGTGAAGGAGGAGGAGGGAGGTAGAGGAGTAGGGAGGAGATGGAGGTGAGGTTGGAAGGAGGGAGGAAGTGAGGTGGAGGGTGACCGAGATTGAGTTACAGACGCTGGTAAAGGGTTGAGGGAGGGAGAGGAGGTGAGGGGAGAGGAGGGTTAGAGGGCACGGTTGATGAAGGAATAGGGGACATGAGTGATGAGAGGAGACATGATCAAGGGGTGAGGGACATGAGGTGAGGTGACAGAGATGAGGGGGAAGAGGGGTTAGGTAGTGTAGGTGAGGAAGGGAGAAATGTAGGGGGAGGGGAAGAAATTTACTCCCATTTCAATTTCCTTACCTCCCCACCATTTCCTCTCTGCCTCACTTCCACCACTTCCCACCCTTCCCCCAGGCTTATTAGCATTAAGTACCTACTTTGCCCGTATAAAGATTATTACACACCATACACAGTAGTGGCGCTGCCCTGGTTAGAATATGATGCTAATTACATTATAGCAAGGCCAATAATGGTGATAATGATGGTGATGTGGTGGTGGTGATTAAGCGTAAAATGGTTCTAGTAGTGTGTGTTGGTGGTGGTGGTGGGATGATGTAATGGTGACGGTGGTGATGATGGTGATGATGATGATGGTGATGGTGGTGATAGAGTGAGTATGCGTGCTAGTGATGTGTATTGATGGTGATGGTGGGATGATGATGATGTGATGACGTGATGATGGGTGATGATGTGGTGATGGTGGTGGGGTGAGTAAATGGTGTTCTAGTGATGTGTATTGATGGTGATAGTGGGGATGATGATGATTGATGATGATGATGATGATGATGGTGATGATGATGATGGTAATGGTGGTGATAAGAGTGGAGTAAATGGGTGCTAGTGATGTGTATTGATGGTGATGAATGGGATGATGATGATGATGATGATGATGATGATGATGATGATGATGGGTAATGGGTGGTGATAAGGTGAGTAAATGGTGCTGGTGATGTGTATTGATGGTGATAGTGGGGATGATGATGATGTGATGATGGTGATGATGGTGATGATTGTGATGATGATGATGATGGCGATAATGATGATGGTGATGATTGTGAGGATTGTGATTGTGATGATGATGATGGTTGTAGGATTGTGATGATGATGGAGTAATGTGGTGGTGATAAGAGTGAGTAAATGGTGCTAGTGATGTGTATTGATGGTGATAGTGGGGATGATGATGATGATGATGATGGTAATGGTGGTGATAAGCGTGAGTAAATGGTGCTAGTGATGTGTATTGATGGTGATAGTGGGGATGATGATGATGATGATGATGATGATGATGATGATGGTGATGATGATGGCGATAATGGTGATTGGTGATTGTGAGGATTGTGATTGTGATGATGATGATGATGATGGTTTGTAGGATTGTGATGATGATGATGATGGTAATGGTGGTGATAGGTGGAGTAATGGTGCTGAGTGATGTGTATTGATGTGGTGATAGTAGTGGGGATGATGATGATTAATGATTGATGATGGTGATGATGGTGAGTGTGTGATGATGGCGATAATGATGATGGTGTCGTGGGATTATTGATGGCGATAATGATGATGGTGATGATTGTGAGGATTGTGATGATGATGATGATGATGGCGATAATGATGATGGTGATGATTGTGAGGATTGTGAAGATGATGATGATTGTGATGATGGTAATATTCGTCCATAAATTTCTACTTCACACTCCATGTAAAAATCACGACGGCGAATCTCAAATCACCAAAAATGTACAACTAATCTTTCGGACGTGATTGGTGGGAATATCAGCCAATCCCTTAGTAGTTAACGAGAAGGATTAGGAGGAAGTTTAGTATGTCTACCTTGTTAATCTGGATTAGTGTAAACTTTATATCAGATGACACTTGAAGTAAAACCTTTAAATAGACTGTTACGAGGTTATGGTTAGGTTAGGTTATGAGGTTAGGTGAGGTTACGAGGGACTAGGTTGTGTATTGTCCAAGGAAAATAGAGGTGAAGACTTACCTGAGGGAGGCCAAACCACAGGTGAGGCCAGACCACAGGTGAGGCCAGACCACAGGTGAGGTCAAACCACAGGTGAGGCCAGACCACAGGTGAGGCCAAACCACAGGTGAGGTCAGACCACAAGTGAAGCCAGACCACAGGTGAGGCCAGACCACAGGTGAGGCCAAACCACAGGTGAAGCCAGACCATAGGTGAGGCCAAACCACAGGTGAGGTCAGACCACAGGTGAGTCAGACCACAGGTGAGGCCAGACCACAGGTGAGGCCAGACCACAGGTGAGAACTTACCTAAGAGAGGCGAGGATGATGAAGGAGATGACGAGCGTGGCGAGGGAGACACTGTACCCCACCACTGACATCTTCTTGATCGTCGGCAGCCATTCCTGTGGTGGACAATAACAAGTGAACATCGAGGAACGCAAGACCCAACACAGGGTATTCATAAAGATAAGAGACTGACACACATTATGTACACACAAACAGAAATACATACATACATACACACACACGTCATCGAAATTGTCTAACACTGTCTTACCCCATCGCTATAAACACATTGGTTAGTTATCACCCCGAAGAAGCGACTGGCATTTACGTGGTCAATAAGAACTCAGACACTTACTCAGAGACAAAGGCACTTGCCCATAATTCCATCGTGCTTGGGAATCGAATCCGTGTCCTCTCGCTATACAGGGGAAAGGTATTAGCCACTCCGCCACAAGACACAGAGACATTAAGACGTAATTACGGTTTATATAGATCTCTTTGTCGCCTCCCCTCAATGACGTCAGAGCAGCGGGAGAGTCTTGCCAACCAATTAATATGCAGGGTATAACTTATTGACCAATCACAAGACAGCTTTTCTATTCTGATCTGCAATAATATTACCTAACATGCAACTCATTTACCAATCACAAACCAGGATTATTTGACCTAACATACTACTCGTCCACCAATCACAAAACGACTTTTTTTAAATTATTATAACATTGATAGTGAGTGGTGATAGAGGTAGAATAGTGAAGTTGTTTGGTGATGGTGTACTTACCCCTATGATGGTGAACCTGATGGTGATGGAGGTAGGGTGGGCGACGTGACCCACACAGGGGGTGTAGTTGGTCCAGCCCAGCCCCTGACCTCCTGCCCACGACCCATTATCACCACACCGCCTCGATGCCCGTGCCTGTGTGGTGAAGTACAGTAGTAGTAGTTGAAGTAGTAGTAGTCTTGGTTTGGTTAGGTTAGGTTGGGTTGGGTTGGGTTGGGTTGGGTTGGGTTAGGTTGGGTTAGATTGGGTTGGGTTGGGTTAGGTTGGGTTGGGTTAGGTTAGGTTGGGTTAGGTTAGCTTCATGGTGGTTAATCTTCAAGTGAGAAATAAGCTAGGGTGTCTAATCTTCAGGTGCTCCATGCCCTGTGTCTCTAAGAGAGAACATATTACAGGTATGCATTAATTACCTTATATAAAGGCTCACTATAATCACCACAGGCTATCACTTCCTCGTGACCTTGGTACAGATTTTCATATATCAGGGCAGATTTACTTTATATAGGTTGACAGATTTTTCCTTATATTTTCTTACAAGATTTTTTATATATATTACGGTAGATTTCTTTATATTTCGAGACAGATTTTCTTGAAATTCCATAGATATTTCTTGGGATTATATAACCCATATTTCAGATATTTATGACAGATTTTTCAAGAAGTTATCACAATCAACTGAGTCAAGAATTAAGAGCATTATGATGGTGAGTTTAGCCAGGTGTGTGTGTGTGTGTGTGTGTGTGTGTGTGTGTGTGTGTGTGTGTGTGTGTGTAAGTGTGTCTGTCTGTCTGTGGTTTATAATTATCCCACGAAATTGATGATCTAATTCCAGTGAAGATGACCACTTAGAAACACGAGGCCTGAGACAGAGTGGTTGAGTCTTGAGTTGTAATTGGTCAATATATATTAAGGCTTTATACTGGGTCAGGAAAGGTCACTAGGTGGCTAGGTAGAAGGAGGAGAGGAAAGAGGAGGAGGAGGAAAATTATAATATCAATAATAATAATAATAATAATCAGGAACATAAAAAAATTAAATCAACGCGGAATTGCATACATGCATACATATTCCATAATATACTAATTACTCGCCAATTACTCTCCTGTTACTCGCCTATTACCCCCCAATAGCTCGCCAATTACTCGCCAATTTGACAAGGTTTAGAATAGCACGACAGCTTTAAATGACGTATCGTGAGCGGCAATTGGCCAAATTATGCAACGTTTAATATTTGTTATTTTTCCTCTTACACTATTATTTAGATTTTACTATTATTATATTTTATTATTATCATCATCATCATCATCATTATTATTATTATTATTATTATTATTATTATTATTATTATTATTATTATTATTATTATTATTATTATTATTATTACTATTGTTGTTGTTGTTGTACTCACTTGACGTATTTCAGTGTCTAAACACGGGGTAAACACGACAGTAAATTACTACAGCGAAGGTGAAAAATTCATTAGAAAATATATACCGGTATACTGTATAATATATACGGTCTATATATTCTTTACTCGGGTCAAATAAACGGAGGATAACTGACAGGATGATATTTGACCTTGATGGAGCTGACCTAAGTTGACCCAGTACGATCAACAACCCGGGAATTAATCATCTTAAGGTATTTGCGTTCATTCCGGCCGCTATTTACTTCACCAGATTATAAATTTTATTATTTTTGTGGAGATGAACTAATTTTTTTTTACCGTATGTGATATTCTTGTTTCTCCTGGGAAAAACATGATAAAGTCCTCTCGTTATTCGTTCCTGTCCGGTACATATATATATATATATATATATATATATATATATATATATATATATATATATATATATATATATATATATATATATATATGCATGATAAACTACAAGGAAAAAGAAAACACGAAGTTCTTTGTTATTTCAGTATATACCTGGATCACGCGCACCAGTGATTTATTTGCATATATATATATATATATATATATATATATATATATATATATATATATATATATATATATATATATATATATATATATATATATAGGTAATCCTCTTGTTACTCTTGAGTAAAAAGTATAACCAGGGATAATCTAATAAGATCAGTGACAATTAAGACCTGGAGAGGATCGAGCGACTTGAGCATCAACACAAGGACTTAGGATCCCATCTGTTAGGATCATATACCACAGAGAGGGTTCCCAAGGTCAGGTCCTCAACCATCACCGAGAGAGAGAGAGAGAGAGAGAGAGAGAGAGAGAGAGAGAGAGAGAGAGAGAGAGAGAGAGAGAGAGAGAGAGAGAGAGAGAGAGAGAGAGAGCCACCTACACCACTCTCACCAGAACACAAACAAGAAAAACAAAAAGACCCAACTTCCACAAGATATGCCATAAATTAAACATTCACGGACCATAAATGTAGCGCCTCCCTCATAAAGAAAAATTATATACCGCGACGCGAATATTTCACCTCGTTAAAAATGGACGACGGCGAGTCAAGCAGCATTAAACACGGAGCATGAATTTTTACCCACAATTCATCATTTTAAATTTCCAGCATTGTTCAGTATTTAATTCTGGAAAAAAAACATTAATTATTTTTCCCGTGTCAAAACTACCTCAATGACTGTCCCATTACTTTCTGGTTTGTTTTAATTATTCAATTTATTATTTTTTCCCCAAGAGTCCATTACTATATCAGGGTTACATAACATTACGATTATATATGGAAATGTATTTTTAAACATTCCATTTAATTAATTGTAAAGGTGAATTAAAAGTTTATAAACAAAGAAAAATAATGCTAATATGACGCCAAAATACAAGTTGATGGAAATATTTAAATAACAACAACAACAACAACAACAACAACAATAATAATAATTATGAATACTAATGAAATACTTAAATAGAAAATTAGCCTTAATAATACTTCGGCAACTGAACTGAGAATACGAAGACATTGTACTTGAGGGGTTAAACTATTGTAGGAATTCGTGGTATAATGTTGTCTAGCACTCAGGATGGATGGAAACTCTAAGGTGGTTTTCTTGTATAATATAAGTTATATGATAGACAGTCTGGTGCTGGAGGTGCCGTGTGGTGGGGAGCTGCTCAGTCGAGACGTTCTGTGAGTAGCGTGTTGAAGGAGGTAGATGTGCAGGAGCTTCGTTAGAGAAGATGTTGCCTGTTGCTGGCCTCCTGGTTGAATGAATGCTGACAGCGTGGAGCTTGTGGAGGAGGTGTTGCGTGTTCAAGTAGAATGGCCAGAATGAAAGCTGGTTGGTGAGGAAGCTCAGAGAAGGACAGCTTGTGGGTCGCCATGCTCGCTGGCGGGAGCGAGGACCGCCAGGCAGGCGGAGGAGAAGCGAGGGCCGCCAGGCAGCGGCGGAGGAGGAGGTGTTGCGTGTTCAAGTAGAATGGCCAGAATGAATCTCAATGGAGAGACAGAGCTTATATACCCAGCAGCTGTGAGTCACCTATGAGTCATGTTGGGAAAACCCGAGAAAGTCGCCGGTCTTTGGTTCCGTTGCTAAGATACTGCGGCGCATCTGGTGACGCCGCTCGGTTGGTAGCAGCTGGTGGCTGCAGCTACGCAGTTGTAGGGGAGAAGTCCACTACACTATCGTACTCAAAATAATAAATATGAAGTAAATAAAAGAAATATTTGAACACGAAGTCTATACAGCAACCATGGCACACACACACACACACACCTAAACCAAAACAAGGATGAACAAGAACTGGTCACTCACTGTAGTAATCCATTGTAGAAAAAAAAGTCACAAGCGCGCGAAAATCATCCACCAGTTATGTCACGAAAAACAAGTTTAAAAATTACAAAAAATACTAAAAAAAATGAATTTATACAGCCCATATGAAAATAATAAAAATACTACTAATAATAATAAAAAAAAAAAAAAAATAATAATAATAAAGAATAAATAGCACACTTAATAAACAGGATGACTAATGTTAAGCCTAAGACCACGACACGACTCAATCCAGAACGCGAAAAAATGATTAAATTCAATTTGTAAATATTTGCTGGTGCTAATAATACAGTAATTACTTCTCCTGGTCATATTGAGCTTGTTAAAATTGCAAAAAAAAATATTCATTAACTTTATACTTTAGGTGTTTGGTGAACGGTTCAAGTTATTGCGTCCTCGGAGACCAATTTGGCTTCAATCTACCTGACAATTATACTTCTATGGTAGATTACTCACCCCACCTAATCTACACAAGGAAATGACGAAGAACACGGTAGATTAGTTGAGTTCATCTCCTTAATGATTACGGCTACGGTAGATTAGTTACTTATCTACTTAATAATTACGACCTGGGTAGATTAATGTGATTCATCTGCTCGACCATAGTAGATTATTTTGAATACATCTACTTAAAAACGATACGCAAATTCCTTACGAAAATACAACTACTACTACTACTACTACTACTACTACTACTACTACTACTAATAATAATAATTGCATGCGTGCGTGTGCGTGTGTGTGTGTGTGTGTGATTATATACATCACATGATCTGTTAGAACATTCACACTGCACGTTCAAGTCATTCATCACTATAGGCGCCAGTGTGGGTAAAATTGCTTCCAGAGAATAGTGATATGTGGAGAGGCTCAAGGGAGGAGGAGAAAAGAGGAGGAGGAAGAGGGAGGGGAAGATTTAGAAAGAGGAAAGAGAGAGGATGGGAGGAGGAAATGGGGGAGGGATAGGTAGAAAAAAGAGAGGGGAGGGAGGAGGAGGAGGAGGAGGAGGAAAGGGGTAGGAAAGGGAAAGAGAAAGAAAAGAAGGAGGAAGAAGAAACAGAAAGAGCGATGAAGAGAAGGGCAGGGAAGAGAACCAGGAGGAAGAGAGAAGGGAGAAGGGAAGGTTTTATTAGTCGTCATTATTCCTGTCTTCAGTAATATAATTAGAGATAAGGGGAGGAGAGTGTCATGTATTAATTACGTGTGAGCAGAAGGTGAGGTAGGGAAGGTGAGGTGGGAAGGTGAGGGGTAGGAAGGTGAGGTAGGGAAGGTGAGGGGTAGGGAAGGTGAGGGGTAGGGGAAGGTGAGGGGTAGGAAGGTGAGGGGTAGGAAGGTGAGTGGTGGTGGGAAGGTGAGGGTAG